TTCCGCGTATGGCGCGACTACGGAAACGCTGTATACGCTTCGTGGATGCGTTGGTTTCTCGGGCAGGAGCAGGCATACCGAGTATTCTCCACTGACAACGAGGAGAAGTTGGGAGATGGGCTGGAAACCGTTCTTGGATTCTTCGACGTCATATCCTACTTCGGAGATGAGTTGCCAAAGTGGGGGAATGTTTGCAATACCGACCAATGCTGGAAGCCACGTTCCTGAAGTTCGTCAGGGAGAATGCAACCACTCACATGACGGGCCTCAACAGAAAGAGAAATGGTATTGTGAAGTACATGGAAGTTCCCAACAAAAATGTCAGGGACATCATGGACGGACTGGCGTACACGAATCCTTTCATCGATCTCGAGGAAGCCAGTTCCACAGGCCAGAAAAGAAAGGCAGGCGAGTCCGGTCATGAGGACGAGGCTGATCGTGGTCGTGGACCCGATCCTGCCGAAGAGCCTGCCGCAAAGCAATCAAGAGTCGGGGACATCGCCACGAGACGAGCAGAACTGTTGCAGATGTTCGAAAATCTTTGCGATCGCGCTGGTGAGCTCAATGTTTGCATCATGTGCGGAAAAGAGTCCCATGAGGGGACGTGCAGAGATATAACAAGAGCAACAGAGTCTGACTTAGACCGTGAAAAGATACAGAGGCCGTTTCTACCAGAAGGACATCCTTCATCCGATGAGGACATCGATATGGAAGGTCCCGAAGGAGAAGAAGATGAACCGATGTCCAGCGAACCTCAAGAAACATCACATCCAGCGGACCTGGAGGAGCCGGAATTTCACCCAAGAGAGGAGTTTAGCAAGTACAACTATGCTGTGAATCTCCCTCAAATGGCCGGCTTGGTAGAAGGAGGCGAACTCCACGTTGGTCAAATCGACCTGCGCACGAATCCCAACGGAAGCATGAAGGACTACAACATCACGCTCGGTTTGTCCGGTGGAGCAAACCCTTCTGTGATTCCGATGCCCCTGCGGCGCACGGGTAGGCTGGCCCCGCCTGAGCTGCAGCAGGACTCTGTGGAGCGCGTGGTGCATCAGGCTTTGCGGCACCTGGCGCAGGGACATCCCGCACTGCGGATCATGCGCGCAGGCTTGCGCTCACACGATGACTTGCAGACGTCGCAGGAGCGGGGCTCTCGGCTATATATAAATATATGACTGTTACGCGCACGTCATGCTCGCATCCGCGATCGCGCACGCGTGTGAGCGCACACAAGACATGCGCGCACAAACGCGCACATGCGCACGCATGGAGCTGGCAGGCCCCCACCGCGGCTGCCGGCCATAGAGGACGCATCGCCTGCAGGCAGCTTCGTCGAGGGCTTGGACACGTTGGTTGGGTCAGCGGGCGCGCCTGCAGCAGCTTCCCGGCAGCAAGCTCTGCCACACATAGCAGCGACGGCCGCTACTGCCGCACCAAGCGCCCCTCGTGGAGCTCCTCTTCCAGCTCTTCTGCAGACCGCGGCAGCGGCAGTGGCCGCTCCGCAGGAAGCACGTGAAGCAGGAGCGGAGACAGCTCTTTGCGCCGAGATCCTCGCCACTCCGACAGGGACCGTGGAGCTCGCCGCACAGACAGCAGCAGCAGCGCCGCCGGCGGATGCTGTCCCGAAGCCAGCGCTTGTGGTCATGCTGAAGCCGCTTCAGCAAGCGCCGCGCCACAGGCACCAACGCGGCCACGTAGCCGCGCGCAGCACTCTGTGGCCGTCGCCGCGAAGCGCGTGCGGCGGCTAAGCTTCCATGCATGGCATGCATGCATGTGCCTGCATGACGCGAATGCGTGTTTTCGCCCAAGCCACTCATGCATGCAGGAAGGCCATGCAGCTGCGTGCATGATGCCATGAGGTGAGGCAGCTCAGGCGGCATGGCATGTGCGTGAAGCTCATACACAGGTAGCCGCCCAGTTGTCGCAAGCCATGGGTCGCGGCTGCTGCGTCTGTTTCAGTCTCGTCATTAGTTGCTCCCTGGTGTCCTTCATAGAGTATACTTCGGGGCGCTTGACTGCGCCAGCTGTGATCTCAGGCTTTGAACCATCTCCTCCTCGTTGAACTTCTCGATTGATGTCGACGATTCAATCCCCTGAACTGCTGTTGATAAGCGGAAATCTGCTTTGAAGCTTCACGATGAATTTGATTTGCATGTATTGCGGACTCCTGCGCAGCCGTCTTCTCGCTTGCCATGTAGGATCTCATCATTGCAATCTCTCGCTTCTGCTCCATGATCATTCCCTCAGCTTGTCGCATCTGCTGCATCATAGCATTCGACTCCATGTCCTGCTTCTCCCCGTACTGATATATGCGTTCATTTCCGCCTCGCGCATCTGTTGGGCCTCTGCCTCAAACTTGCGCCAGGCCTCTGCCATATGGTGATTGACAAGATGTCCCGACTGCTTGCTGGCAATCTCGCATCGTCTCTCCAGTTCCTGGATCCGGATGGTACTCCCATAGTCTTCCTGATGAAGGTTTGCCATCGCTGTCAACATCTCATCTAGAGTCTTCTGATATTCTCCGATCTCCGATTCCATCTTGTTCTTCTCCTTGATGATGGCGCGAACCTCGGCACCCGTGGGCGATTTGGATCTCCCCCCTTTCGATGACGATCTCACGCTCTTCCGCGATGCCCTGGGGGTCGCGGGCGAAGATGATGACTTGCTTCCGTGATTTTGCAGACGTGGATATGTCGTTGAATAGCACTGAACCACCGCTTCCGGATTCACCCTGCGAAGCGGCCACCATATCCATGACCGCAGGAAGAGCCATCCATCCGTTGGATCCCTCTGAACTGTCGTTCCCAAAAGTTGCAGTACTTGGGCTCGCTGAAGATTCCATTGTACTGTGTAGGTTATTGTTCTTCTGCAGTTCCTGCACCCGCAAGAAACCAGCTGCCTCCTTGCCCAGTGTAGAGCTTGATTACGGCTGATAACCTGTCAAGAGCGCAAGATGACGTCCCGTGGGACGCTGTCCACCAAGCTTCCAGCTGAATGGTACTCAATCACGTGGTGAAGATATACGGCTAAGCCGCTACAGCCAAACCAGTGGAAAATCTGTAAGGGTGTTCCTCAATAACCACACAAGCTCAAGATCTGCAGCGCGATCGCACCTGTTTCCTCTCACTTGGATCGAACACAGGTATGTGCAAGTCCATGCAAGACCATAAGCCCTACTCAAGTCTTGAGCCAAATTGTGGCATCCATCGGAACACTTCAACCAAAGAGAACAGGGCCAGGAGGGTCTTAACTCTTAACAATTACCATCTGTGTTGTGATAACCAAGGCCAGGCAGACCGCCATCTCCGTGACCACCACCTCCATTATTGCCGGCTGAACCAAATGTGACATTTGGAATAGATCCTACCGCTTCATGGAGTTGGTCGATATGAGCCTGTATCATTGGGTCTTGGTAAGCAGGAAAAAACAGAACCCGGTCCGAGGCTGTAATCAATTAATTGGTTCGGAACGTTGGACACTAGAACTAGACGTTGCCACATTAAATTAGCCTGATAGAGCTCTACCTGACCTTGTCGTTGAGGTCCATCCGTGTATTACTCTTCCGGGTCTTCGAATTATGGCGTTTACTGGTCCTATCAGAATCACCCTCAGTAGAGCTCGTCCACGATCATTGGAGTCCGCTCCAACGATGCCTTGCGTGGTGTTCTCACTCTCAAGCTCCCTGTTCGTCTCTGCCAGTTGATAAACAAATCCTTCCTGGATCTTGAGTCGCGCCGTGTCTCCTCGATTTCCTCAGCCATTGCAGCGATTTGATTGAGGTAATCAGATTGCGCATCATTGGCCTCTTGCCTCGATGCAGCGAGTTCGCGGGTCACGTCGTCGAACTCCCGATCTCCCTCGGCGTGGCGCGATCATGTAATGCATTTCCTTGATGAGCTCGATCTCTAGCGATCTTGATCTCCTCATTCATCTTTGCGTGACGTTCCTGCGCTGCACGTTGTCCAAACATGTGCATCTCATCCCGCTCGCTCGCGGCAACCCGTGCGCAGTGGGCTTCTTGTTCGGCGTACCTGATGGCGTCGTTCGCTTTGCTCACCAATGTACCTTGCGGCTCGTCGTCAATCGCCATTGTTGGTTGTGGCATCAATGCTGTTTCCAATCTCTCGCGCAAACCATGCATGGTGTTCTCCTCGTTCTGCGAGTCCGTATTGATCTTCACCTGGTAGCAGTTGATCATTGGTTGATACGGTGCAATCTCAGAAGAAGCGCTTCTCCAAGCTTGCTCAGCTTTGTTCTTGCTAACCAATGCGCTTTCCTCCTCACATCTGATTCGGTGTTCAAGAAAATCAACGGTCGCGACCATCTCATGGTGTCGCTTCTCGTTTATGTCGGGCTTCTTCTTGATACTCTCCGTAGATCTTCACAAGATGTTGCGCGTGATCTTCGGATGGCTTTGTCTTCCCACGTTGAAGGTCAATGTGTTGAGCAGCTTCTCGAATCGAAGTTGTTCGTCGGATCTTTTGAGGATATGGGCTACTTGCTGTTCCGAAATACCAGCTCTCCGCTCCAGTTCCTGAATGCGCGCAACATTGCCACGGTCGTCACGTTCATATGACTCGTGTGGCATAGCCAAATTGCGCGTAGCCTCTTCCACTTTAGGCGACTTCGCACAGCAGACATAGCTGTGGAACCACTGGAACTGTCATTTTTACAGGTTGCAGTTCCTGGGCTTCCGGAAGAATATGATACAAAAGGTTGTGTTCGCCGCAGTTGCAGGACCACTTGTAAGCTTACGGCTGAGAACCTGCCAGGAGGCGAGCCAACCACGAAGTCAGTGACAAGGCAGTTGGGGTTCGATTCCGATGTCTTCGCTCTCTGTCGTTTGATTGTTTACCACGTGCTTTTCATTTCGTCGACCAACCTCTTCGTCTTCTGCAGCCCCTTGCAACCTTGGACATTCCCTTCCCCTCATGATTCTCCTATTGCTGCCCCCTCTTCTCGGTCCCACTCTCTTTTTGTCCTTTCGTTTGTCGCCGAGCCTGAAAGCAGAAAACGCCAAAATGAAGAGCTAGAGTCATCACGATGCACGTGGACACGACTTTCTTTGCCGGCTCCTCCTTGAGCCAGCCGAGAGAAAGTCAACGGCCAGAGCATGCCAAAGTCAATAGCAAAACATGAGTTGCATGATGTTGCGCTCAAGTCATACGCAGCCTGCTCTGTCTTGACCACAACCAAGAGACGAAGCAGCTGCAATGTGAACTTTGTCACCTTGGGCTATCGGTTGCAATTTGATGCAATTTGCTTTCACCCACAGCGCTCCTCCACCTTCCGACTTCTCCCAATCCACACTCTTGCCAAGCATCAAGAAGGTCAACTGCGCCCGTTACCGCAAAAAGGTACGTGAAGCTCAGCCTGCAGGACAACACGTTTGGACCGGAAAAGCAAAGAAGTCACAAGCTCCCGCGCAGCTCGATTCAGCAAAGAAGCAAGTCCAAGAAGCGATTCCAAAGCGCGCGGCCAACTAGAAATGTTGTCACCGCAATCATGGTCATGGCGCAGCACAGGAAAGCAGGTCGCTTAACGAAGTTGCGCAATTGAAGCCAGGAATACTCCTGCCCAGGCGCAACACCTTGCCCCTACTCCCACATCCCTCCCTCGTCTCTCTCCTGGTCTGCATGACTGGAAAAGGACGTGACCACGAAACCACCAAGTCCCAACAGCAGGATACTGAGGCCGTGCATCCTTGTAAGCCTCAGAGCGATTCTCTCTCTCGCTCGCTCTCTCTCCCTCTCTCTCTCTCTCTCTCTCTCTCTCTCTCTCTCTCTCTCTCTCTCTCTCTCTCTCTCTCAACACTCGGCGCGAGTGAAACGAGGCGACAAATGTTAGGCATATGTGATGTAATCTTGAAAAGCTTCTTTCAGACAGTTTAGTTTGTTCCTGGCACCAAAAGGAATACTTCACAAAATTGTGCCCGGGAATGCAGCGCGATACTGTTGTTCCGCCTTGGAAACCCCAGTGCCAGAAGAGCATCTAGACTTGATTGGGCGAACGCATCCTGCGTGCAGCGAACACATCTGTGGCATGTCGGTGGACGCCGGGGGGCCATGGCAATCGCCATTTTGACAAGCTGAACGCAATGCTTCAAACAAAGGCGAAATGGTCGCCGCTGTAGCTGCAGCACAGCATGTGCACCCTAACAACCGTGCGTGATGCAGTGACCCCTGGCAGCTCATTCTTGGCCAGCACACTTCCCCGCAATCAAAGTGGGAATCAGCACTGCAAGCCAAGCAAAACCAGAGGTCCTACTGAGCGGGCAAAATGACACTCAAGCAAAAAAGAATGCTTGGCCAACGCGCATATTTGCCGCTGTTGCTGGTTGATGGTTTGGGTCAATATTGGTGCGGCGGCTTGTAGAACGTGGCAAGTGAAGAGAACAGAAAAAGATGCAATTGAAAGAACTTCGTCTCCATTGAGCCGGAATGACCAAATGCTAACTCGAACTCGAAGGCCATAAGCCTCGCAGTCTGAGGGCCCTGACTGTTCTCGAAGCAGCACCGGTGCCAGCACAGCATTGCCTTGGTTGCGGCCGAATCTAGATGTGAAATGACTCCGACAAAATCAACCCGAACTCAGGCCAGAAGCCAAGCTTGTCCCGGCAACATCCGGCTCCATTTCTAGAGGCTGTCTGTGTGAGATTTGGCACATACTTCGTTTTCAGCCCGCTCCGACTTGCGACCAATTGCGCAGAGCCAGCGCCGAGATGCTGAGCAAAGACCCGCTAAATGTTACGCAGGCGGTCAGTGATGCTGGCGCCAAAAGAATCGCCACCTCGCAAAACACTTCAATGCTGACTTTCGCATGACCATTCTGCCGAACTGTTTTTCCTGCGCCGTTCGGTGGCAAGTGCTTGCAGAGGTTTTCTGCAGCCTGACGCCTCTTGGCAAAAAAATCCAGTGAGACATTGCGCGCACGCTCAGGCCTTGTAGGAGGGCTCTCTGTTTTCAACCTCCTTGCCCACAAATCCGCCCACCTTGGGAGGTGCCTGACCAACTGGCTTGTTATACTTCTGCGCGGCGTTCTTCAGCGCCGCCCCAAAGTAGACAATGGCAAAGCCACAGCTTGCCCAAGCCAGGGGGTCAATGCCGTAGAACACGTCAAAGTACTCCTTGCCTAGGATACGCGACGTAATGAGCCACTTTGGTCTGCCAAACCACTTTTGACCTCTTCAGGCCGCTTCCCCTTTTCACAAAGACCACCCTGTAGCGGGCAAACATGCAACTTGCACCCCAGCTCCGACTTTAGGCCCTGTCATCCTAGGCGCCCTTGTAGACGAAGGCCTCTGCATGCTGGGGCATGCTCACAGCCACAACTGCCCCAGCAGCTGCCACTGCCTGTAGCCAAGCAGCCACATGGACGATTCCAGCCATCCCACAGCCAGCTAACGAGACAAAGGGTTCTTAGTTGGCTCAGCCGACTTCACAGCCACACATGCAGCAAAAAAGGAACAAGAGCGCTGCCCATTCCGCACAATGCTCATTTGGCGTGGGTCCGTGGCTCACTGGAAAAAAGCTGTCGACAATTTCGGCCGCTTGCATCAAAATGCTGCCCGAGGCACGGCATCACTTCGCACCGGCTCGCGGCTGGGGAGAAATGCCCGGCTACTGCGGAGAACGCAGCAAGCCACTGCTGCCAGCATGCACGCCGCCAGCACAGGGCGAGCCATTGTTGTAATGACCTGGGCCTAGACTCCTAGACCTTCCAGCGCAATGCCTCTCTGCGGCACACAGCCAACAAAACATTTGAGCCCAAATGTGTAGCAACATGCAGCGCGGCGCATGGCTTGCCCAGCCTACGACCGGAATAGCTCACTGCGCAGCGCCTGCCCCAGCAACTGGCCCACCAGCCAGAAGCCCCATCCACACGCTTGTAGGCAACGAACTTTGGCTTGGCCCTCCTACGCCGCACATGCTTGCATATGCCGCGCAAGCTGCGCGTGCAGCGTATGAGGTTGCAGTGAACCAGTTTCCCGACGAACCGCCAGGCCACCCCTCCTGTGTCAAGGAGCAGATGCGTAGCTGACCCCCAAGCCTTGGCAACTTCGTCTATCTCTCTCTCGCGCTCTCTCTCTCTCTCTCGTTAAATTCGGTTGCTACTTTCGCTTACAAGTGCAAGTGCTGTAGTGTTCAAACAAACAGTCAACCAATGTAGTCTGCAGCTGCCAACCTTTTGGTTCATGCGATGTAGTGAGCTCAAGGCCTGCAGTAGTGAACATACATGCAACACAAATGCAGGAAGTGAAGCATGTAGTTTGACACGGCCCCTCAGTTAAAAGGTCTTTGTAGTACCTTTTCAACTGCAGTGCAAAACATGGATTGATAGTAGTGATGAAAACCATGGTTGTTCATCAATTCTACTGTAGTGGCAAAAGTAGTGACCTGCACTCAGTAGTTCACGCTGTTCATGTTCCAGCTCGATGTAGGGCGCTGGATGGAATTAGTGAGGCAGGCGCTCGTTGTAGTGGAGCATGAGCTCAAACATGTAGTCCCCATTTCTGAGCGCGATAGTCTTGGACCATCTGTAGTCTGCTGTCCAGGGTCGCGTAGTAATGTACGGTAGTGATGGTGATGATGATGATGGTCATGATGATGATGATGATTATGTTGACGATGTTGACGATGATGTTGTTAATGGTGATGATGATGATGATGACGGTGGTGATGTTGATGATGATGGTGATGATGTTAATGATGATGATATTGATGTTGGCGCTGAGGATGTCGATGGCGATGACTTTGATGATGTCGATGATGATGGTGATGTCAACGTTGATGTTGATAATGGTGAGGATGTTGTTAATGATGATGATGTTGTTAATGATGACGATGATGGTGATGATGTTGATGTTGACGATGTTGATGATGATGTTGACGATGATGATGATGGTGATGATGGTGATGTTGACGGTGTTGTTGATGATGATGCTGACGATGTTGATGATGATGGTGTTGGTGTTGGTGTTGATGTTGAAGATGGTGATGTTGTTGGTAGTGATGATGATGGTAATGATGATGATTATTTTTCTATTATTATTATTATGTTGACGATGTTGATGATGATGATGTTGATGATGATGCTGATGATGATGATGTCGCTTTGCGTTCCTTGTGCTTTGCGTTCCCGGGTCTACAGTTGACGATTGTCTCCCAAAAGAAAGGCGCCATCCATGCGATACACGTGCATCGTGGTGCGTGTTCGTGCGCCTCATCGTGGTGTGCATGGACACTTGGAAAAAAGGCCGTGCTGTTGTAAATCACATACACTTGAGCAAAACCGCGTTCAAAAACGAGCCAAAACACGCGTTACAAAACGACCACCTTCCCCTTCCGAACATCGAGGAAGTGATGATTCAACAAGGGGCGCGTTAAGCTCTGTAAGCATTCTACAAATCAGCAGGGGGGTTGGGGGGGGCGGCAGCCCCCTCCATGATGTTCGAAGAAGCGATGATTCAACAACGGGTGGTGATGATCAAAGAAGTGATGTTAAGCTCTGTAAGCATTCTACAAATCAGCAGGGGGGTTGGGGGGGCGGCAGGATGCGCGAAGAAGTGATGATTCAACAAAGTGTGATGATGATCGAAGAAGTCATGATTCAGCAAAGGGTGCGTTAATCACTGTCAACCTTCTACAAATCAGCGGGGTGAGGAAGGTCAGGTACAGATTTCGCAGCAGGCGCAGCACTTCAGCAAGGTCAGGTACAGATTCGCGGCAGGTGCAGGACTTTCGCAAGGTGCGGTCCAGATTTCGCGGCAGGCGCAACACTTTCGCAAGAGGTACCAATTTCGCGGGAGGCGCAGCACTTTCGCAAGGTACGGTGCAGAGTTTGACGCAGGTGCAGCATTTTCGAAGCAGTGAAGAAAATATACAAAGATATAAACATGAAGAGAAAGGGAGAAAACAGAAAGAGAGAGAGAGAGAGCGAGCGAGAGAGAAAGAAAGAAAGGATAAAAGAGAGAGATGATTCGAGGAAGTGATGATTCAGCAAAGGGCGCGTTAAGCGTTGCATACATTCTGAAAATCAGCGGGGGGGTTGGGGGGGGCGGCAGCCCCCCCCATGATGTTCGAGGAGGTGATGATTCAACAAGGGGTGCGAGCATTCTACAAATCAGCAGGGGGGTGGGGTGAGGCCCGCTGCCGGGGGTACCTATCCCAGAAGGGAACTGGTACCCTGTGGTAGTAGAGGTCGTTTATTCGGTCCCTGGATCTATTCCAGAAAGAGTCCAATATGCCAGGATGGATTGTCCCTGGTGGATTGTCTTGTTGTGTAATCCTGTAAAGCCTGCAAAGGTTCCTTTTGTCACACAATCATGAGAATTGCTATGGTACAGAAGGGCCTTGAGCCAAATGGTTGCGGGCGATCAACATTGGTCAAAAACAGACACAAAAACAGACACAACTGTCTTTTGATCGCCGGCACTAGATATGACATATCTTTGGCTTGTTGGCCTTTGGCCGTAGCCTTGATTTATGCCGTAGCCATGTGTATTGAAATGCTGGATTCATCCTGTTTTCTGCGCGGATGAAATGTCTTGATTTTTGCAAAATGGGAAACAGTCTGTACTGATTCTGTGAGATACCTAGATGTATCTAAAAGATGATGTACAACGCTATGTACATGCGGGACGGATGTGAAACTATTGATCTCTCACTGAATAGTCTTGTTGGCGGTGAGGATCAATTCGGTTGAAATTCGTAGTGCCGATTTCGGGTGTTCTCTCAGTCGAGCTTCAGAAAAACTTCTTTCCTTGGCGGATCACTCAGACCAAAGGAGGTCGAATGGATGCCAGAGGTGGCAGCTTCATCAGATAGTTAACGGTTCCACCGATAGCTGCTGTCGGATTGGCTGCCGTAGTCTCCGTAGTCGTGCCAGGTCGAGTCGCTGTAGTCCTTCCACTGCTTCTGATTGCCCCACTGCTGATTGTTGTATTCCTTATACTCTTGCTGAGTCCAGGGTTGCTTCTTCTTGAAGTACTCCTTGGATCGCTCAAAGTTTCGCTGCTTGGTGGCAGATCTGCTGCGGATGTAGACCATCAGCGGACTGTGTGAATCGGAATCTTGAGAGCCATTCATGAACATCTCGTTGTTTACGTGCTTGAAACGTTCCGCGGATGAGACCTGATAGTCGAAAATGGCAGTCGTAGGATCGTTCCGCATGGCTTCCAGTTGATCATCTTTCATTGCGTCCATCTCTTCCTTCCGGAAATCCTGCTGGATGTTTGTCTTGCCCCATCCAAATACGAAAGTCATCATGACATCTGGGAATGTTCGATCAAACCCGGATCCAGTCTTCATGTAGAGGTGATGACGGACGATGGATTTCAGGGTGCAGGAAGTCTCCATTGCATATTCCATTCTGCCCACGAGTGGCAAGTTCTCCGTTTCATTCCACAATCTCTGGTATGCCTTCATGAGGATATTCATGAGACCGTTGGCCGGATTGTAGACCTGTTGGAGTTTGCTGTAGGTGTTCGCGGACTTGTTGGCGTCTCCGCTGATCGCATCGCATTTATACAATGTCACGAGCGGCATGATTTCAAATTGAAAATCGTCCCGTACTGCTCCATGGCTGATTGATGGATGGATGTGAAAAACTCCAATGGTAGCATATGGGAGGTCTACCCTCGTCACATGGCGGCTGTCGAATTCGAGGAGTGAATCATTGGATGACTTTGGAAACACGCCACGAAATTCATCACTTTGCTCGATGTGGATGACGACAATTTCCTTGTTGCGCCCATGTCCTTGGACAGTTGTGCGTGGCGGCAACCTCGGTCCAATGTATTTCTCGGATTCCCTGAACATGGGTGTTCCTGTGGTTGCCAGGCAGTCAGAAGTCGGAATGTCGTATTCGGCATCAGTGCAATGGTTCTCGGTTCCGAAGAAGCATCTGAACATACCGAATGTAGTTCCCCAGTTTTGACTCCTTGTGGAAATGTGCCGTGCCAATAGTTCCACCCTTGCAGCAGGTCCGCCGCGGACAAAGTGGTTTGGATGACCATTGCTTGATAACTATGCCCTTGTATCCAAACCGGATGAACGTCTTGATGAGGTCCTTGGATTTCTCATCTTGAGGACTGAGGAATGCGCCTGCTTCATTTAGGCATATGATGTGCGCGCTGTTCTGCCTCATCATCCTCGTGATTGGTTGATCCCTCATCGCCATGTTATTCACCTCCTTGTCGTCCAGCTTTGGATTCCTCGTAAGGTTTCCGTGGTTCATGGTGAGCATGTTGATCGTCATGGATGAGGTGAACTCATGTGCCCTGAGATGGTCCACAGGAGAACGGTCAGTTGGTTGCATCAGCGATCGCAGGATGTCAGCAAATGCCTGGATGACCGCTGGTTTGTCATATGTCCTGGGCTTCTTCAATCCCAATGGAAGCTTGATCGGATATCCTGACGCTGGCTGTGCCTTCCTGAACTCTTCCATGGATGGCAATTCTCCTCGGTGGTGGAAATAGAACTCCTCTCCCTCGAGGTTGACATCTGGATCGACATGTGCCAATGAAGCTCGCTTGCATTCTGTCAATTCGGGATGAGCTCTCTTTGGATCCCTGTCGTACTTCTCCATGAAGCGGATGAAGTTCCTTTTGGTCTCCTTGAGCTCTTCCTCGGCGTCCTTCTTGGTCATGTCCATTTCAAGGTATATCTATTTGAATTCCTTGATGAACTCTTCTAGGTTCTTGGGATTGTGATACTCCATGGTGACCTTCGGCTTGACGGATCTCTCGCCGGAGGGTTCCATGTTCTCCTCATCATTTTCGTCTTGATCGGTGGAGCGCCGTCGCTTCTTGGTCTCTGTGGATGTATCTTTTTCGGATTGTTCCTTGCTTTGTTGGTCGGTATTCACATATTTGAAGAAGGCATCGGCGAATTCATGGATCTTGGTGTTGTACATCTCAACGTCTTCACGAGCGAGAGACTTCTTCATGATCCTGTTGTTGCTCAATATGATGTTCCATCAGGATCAAATGCTGCAACAATATTCTTCGCCTCGACGGTTTGTTCTGTCAACGCTGTTCGCTCTTCGGA